CTACAGAGTGTAGTTGTCGAGCTCTAACCAACTGAGCTACAGAGTCCAGTTGTCGAGCTCTAACCAACTGAACTACAGAGTGTAGTTGTCGAGCTCTAACCAACTGAGCTACAGAGTCCAGTTGTCGAGCTCTAACCAACTAAACTACAGAGTGTAGTTGTCGAGCTCTAACCAACTGAGCTATAGACTCCTGTTGTCGAGCTCTAACCAACTGAGCTACAGACTCCTGTTGTCGAGCTCTAACCAACTGAGCTACAGAGTCCAATTGTCGAGCTCTAACCGCATGTTCATGCATATATATACGAAGGTGATGTCATTGTAAGGTGTATGGGTATTTACCTGTAACATACGTAATATCATTGCGTCATTCTTACTATTATTTTTTCAGTTGGTATTTGGCGTTGCAGAAGAAATGTTAAAACGTACGACGGAAGACACGAAGTGGGCGATGATACGAGCGAAATGTGGTTGGATGATTACGGGTGCCCTGATGACTTTGGGTAAGAACAACATTGATAATCACTCATAAGAGTGTCTTTTGGGTTAAGTTGCAAATTGATTCGTGCGAAGGATTGAGAAGAGGCTTGCAACCAACAACTTCTAATTATGTTATACACACGTACAGCGATACTGTAGCAGTTATTTGTTGCGATGAGTGGAAAAGTTTATGGAAAAAACTTAATACTAAAACTTAACTGACTTTCATTTATATTGGTAGTTTATACAGTAGTTCACCGTTGAAGTGCTACAAGCTAGGCTATTACAGGCCCACTCTTACAACAGTAGAAAGATAGGTGCACAGAGAAAGTTTCTTAATTAATTGTACAGTTTTTGATGAAGTCAAACAAGGGGCATTCCTCTCACACACGAGTAAAGTTGAAATTGTGAACTCTGGATATTTCAGTCCCGATCGTAGAAGTGAATGAAAACTAACCAGGGCCGCCGAGTTCGATACGAGTGAAGTAAAAAAACAATTTTAAACTTTCTTTTAGGCCCTTCGGTTGTACGCCATTTTCTGCCCAAGATGTTGGGTTTGTGGGCCAGTGCTTTCCCGCCAACACCAGACGAAGCTGAGTCGGAGAAGTCTAAGGGAGATCCATATACGTGGCAGGTTACACTGGAATGTAGATCTGGCGCTCTGGCAGGTATGAGATTCATTAATATTTCCGGGGGGTTAATTGCATGGGGTTGATTGAGTTTGTGTTTTTACACTGGAATGTAGGTCTGGCCCCCTGGATTTGGTTATTTTCAAGGGGGGGGGGGGGTGCCTGTGTTATACAATGACTTTATATAAGTAAGTTTCCTTACTTATATAAAGTCATTGTATAACACAAGCACCCCCAGAGAAAATGAGCATGGCTGCATGATCTAAATCTGGATTGAATTTGTTAATTGCTTAAAACGCCTATTAACCTATTTGCTTCATGTACTTTTTCAGGTAGTTCAGACACAAACCACGGAAGGTTTATTGTACTATAATACTTCTTTTACTGGACTGCGTCTGAGATATCGTGTATATTTTTATTTTAGCTCTTTCAAGTTTCATCAAACACTGCCCGGCCTTACTTTCTGATGATATCGTTCGACGTGTTATGATACCTCTTGAGTCTTGCGTTGCCATGACAGCACAGTAAGTGCTTATGCTTTTGACTTAATAAATTTTTGGGTTTATTTTTTAATGTATTTCATCAGTACAGTACTACTGGTGTTGGTTGTAGGAAGGCCGGATCTTTTTTCATTTGAAACTTCACTTAAAAATTTGAGTAATTTTACTCAAAATTTTGAGCCACTTCCATAGTTGACTACCATGCATCCCCTTCCGTCTAGGTTTTTCGGCTTTACTGCGAGAAGCCCTGGGAATGAAAAGACTCTGGGATTCGAGTGAATTTTCGAAAAAGAGGAGCTATAAAACAAATTGGTTGAAACAACTAATAAATTAGTGGTTCATTTTGAATTTGAGACAAACGCTTTATGAGTTGTTTTAACCATTTTGTTTTAATAACGATGTTGTTACTGTATGTATAGCACTAATGACGTTTTTATTGAATCAGTTTACCAGCCATCATCAGAGCTCATGGAAATCATCTCAAAGTTAGCGCTGCTATGATCAGACTGAGATTGTATGAGGCGTTCAAACTTTTGCCACCCAACTCATATGAAGGTAGGCAGGAATATGGATCGGATCACCCGTCCAGTATAAACAGGGCTCCCACGAGAATTTTGTGTAGGAGGCGTTTTGAAATAACTGGGGGGGGGGGCAGCTGAAGGTGCCACTCACCAAGGGCAAAGATTAGGTACTATAAAGATGTGCCACTCTGCGAAAATTATGTCCGAGATTTTTTTATAGCCGCCATTTTGCCAGTAAGTGTCCAATTCGTCAAAATTCGTCATATAGCGCGAGCATCGCGATGGCAACCTTTGTATTCGTCTCGCCGCCATTTTGGCAGTAAGTGTTATGCACTCGTCATCTCGCGTGATCAGCACGGAAAATTCGGACACGCAAACATTAGGGAAATACGGCGAGTGGCACATCTTTATAGTATCTAATCTTTGCCAAGGGGGAAGGGGAAAGGTTTGATTGCGTCTCCCTATGGGATTTTGAAATTTAGACCCACGTGTAAAATTATGTTGTAAAATGACTAAAATCAGGAAACCTAGCCTCCTTCGCAAGCATTACGAACACCCATTCGCAGGCTAAAACCCATAGAGATGCCTGCGGATGAGGCTACAGGAAACCTTTCCCTTGGTATTTTGTGGTAAGGAGGAAATATTTCGTGTTATAATTTCGAGAAATAACCAGCGATTGCTGGCGTTGTAAACGGCGAAAATCGCTGTGTGCCGCCTTGGGAACCTAATAAATCAGGGTTCTATAACATTTAAGAGTCTTTATACTTACACGGGAGAACTTTATTCCTCTAACTTAATGTTATGTTTAGGTCTCTACAATGCTATCATCCGGGAACTTGTGTCTGAATTCACTCTGACCTCCAACCAATCAATGACGACCACGTCACTGTTACGGACAATGTGTCATAAGGATGACAGCATATTGCTGGGTACTTGGCTACAGGAGACTGACCATAAGTCTGTTGAAGACCAAGTAAGTGTATGGTACCATCGGTATGGTACACATTAAAAATGCGTGTGTTAATAAGTTATTTGTAGGTTTGCATTGCGATAAAACATATAATACTTTTTGTGTGTGGAAACACCACATAAATTTATTACTGCAAAGCTTTCGATCCGTAAACCCGGATCTTCATCAGTGCTAATAATATGTATAATA